GAAATTATGAACATTGCTCAACATCATGAAAATTAAACCTTATTTTCTAATAAGCAATCCTGAAAAATTATTTGGGGGTGCTTAACTTTTTTCCTAGGTGTATATTTGATTAACATGCATACCAAAAACTTTGAGTTTGAATGGTACAGATATGCTATTTTATTGTATTTTTACGGTAGTTCTGTATAGTAAAAATCAGAGGATCCTGAAATTACATTTTTAAACAGTCTGAAGTTATCCTATCATTTATACTATGTAAAATACAAAAGCTAAGTTTATTGTATTTTTGAGATACTTGCATTACATACAATCAGAGAATACTGAAGTTACATTTTCAGATAACCTGCTAGTTATCATGTGCGCTATATTAAGTGGTATAAGAAAGCTAAATTTATTTAGAAGATTACTATGTTTTTACTTCATGTTTCATTACTATAAATTTGTAGCTGACTATAAGCAATGTGATGGTTTATTTCATCCACTTTCTGAATTTAACTAATAAATACAAGAACTTTTTTCTCTAGCAATCATGTTTTTGATATATAAGTACTAGAACTATAGTACAGAAAAAAGTTCAAAAGAAAATTAATGCACCATTTAGTTAGTAAAGAAGAATTACAGAATAGTAATGATGCAAAACATGTTAAATTCTATAAAATAACCACACAAAAGTTCAAAAGAAAATTAATGCACCATTTTCTTTTCTTTATATATTCGTTTCTCTTGAAGTAGTTCTTCCCGTTTCCTTTCTCGTTCCTAAACAAGAAACCAAACTAAAACAAACCATACCAACAAAGCATAGTTTTGTTTTGATATTTATCAAGAAAAATTTTGTAAATTTCATTTGTGAAAATAAAAATGTCTGACCTTTCTTAGTAAAATCATAGAAATTTTTTTTTATTTTGAACTTAATATGAGATACTGCATCTTCACAACAACCAATATATTAAGTGCACTATTATTAGTTCAGTGATCATACATTTTACAATAAAATGACTTCAATTAAAATAAATACAGAGAGATTAATACTTTAGTAATAATTTGCAAAAATATACTTTTGGATATTCAACTCCAACATTAATCAAAACAATCTCAAACATCAAGGCTATATGTAACACACTGATTTTCCTTGTTCCAAGAACTCAGAAAAACAAAATATATTAAGCAATTTCTTAGATAATTTTGGGCACGAATGCTTAATTCAAGTTGGTGGAATTGAGAACAAATTACTTAAATTTTTTCTTTAAAGCAAAGCCAGACTTTGCAAATTTGGAATATGTAAAAAAAAAAATCTTCCATTCAAATTTACCATCAGAAATGTTTTGTTTTGCATTTACTTGTTAATTATTTTGAGCTCAAAAGCTTAAAGCACAACATCAAAAGAATGGTTTAATAAAAGAAAGAGCAACAGAAACAATACTTTGTAACTGAGGGCACATTACAGCATTAATTTCATACTGAAAAATCAGATGATACATATGTATACTTCAGCTGATTATTATACTATTCACTAACATGGATGATTTTTTTTTTATAATTTCAGAGAAGTGTTTCTATTCTAAGACAAAAAATACAGTGTTCGATACCTCATGCTTCTTGTGAATTTCTAATGCCCTAACGAGTAACATATGCTGCCGTCTACGCTCTCTTTCCTGGAAAATAAAATGTAAAACTTGTGATTGTTTGAACTTTTTAATTTCAGTGGTATTTTTTCTCAATATATTTATCCATGCATATTTCTAAAATCATATTATAAAATACACAGTGATGAGGAGATATATTTCAACTTTTCATGAGAACTTATATTTCAATTATTGAAAATAATATAAACAAATTAAATTGTATTATTTTATTTACCTCACCCTTTATGAAAGATATTATTAACCACATGCAAAATGTTAATAACATTATAATTCAATGAAGACTTGAGAAACTTATATTCAATTCACTGTAAGTATGTCAATGCAGTTGATTTCTAAAAACTTTAAAACAAAGTTAGAGCCTACTGAAAGAAAGAAGAAATTGTCACAGATACCAAAAAGAATTGTAAGCAATAAAATATTATAATATTACTGTATTTCCACCCCACACACGCACACACAAAAAAGAAAATGAGTGATACCATACTTTCAAATTCTCATTTATTAAATTCAATCAATTTAAAATATTATGTCTTACATTTCAATCCAAGAAATTTACAATGCTAATGAACTAACTTCTAAATGAATTAGTTCTGTTGCAAGATCTATCCATAGTTTCAACCATCTTGATTACTGGTTTCAATATGTGATCTTTACTGGAATTGCAAAAGTGGCTAGTATGATTGTCAAAATGATTTCATGTGAACTTAAGTATGTACTCAAAATATCTCAAAGTTGGAGATAAAAAATAATATGAAGGACTTCCCTAGTGATGGAACATAATGGACTTGGTTAGACTTGCAAAGAAAGTTACTTTATGAAAGCTTGTTTCTAACCGTAAGTTTAACTTTACTAATTTATGCAGAGTGACTTGGAAGTCTACTGACAGGCAAATAATGGAAAAGGTACACCAAAAATAAGTTGTTAGTGGAATGGAATGAGGTAATGTGGGCTTACTCTGTGACAATATCACTGAAGGTAATGTCATTCAGAAATCTGAATGATATGCACCATATACCCAAAATGTTGATGGCAAAAGTGTATACAATAATAAATCAAATATTTTAAATACAAAATTATCAAAGTCACTCCACATGAACAACAGAATTAGATTTCAATCCAAGAAGAGCAAAGATTGTTGTAGAAACCTATGTTTGATGTGCAAGGTCAGAATTTTGCATAAGTAAGTCATTGTGCCTTTTATGGGTCCAAAAGGCTAAAAAGTATTAAAATGCAAGCTCCATAAAAAGAAAAGGATTGCACATAAGCACTGTGCTGAAAATGTTCCCAAATCATCTATATAATGGCACAGTATTCAGTTGAAGAGCACATTAACATGGTCCTACTTTATGGAGAGTGTCACAAGAATACTGCCAGATTGGATGATGAATGGTTACTAGATGAACATCATCCTTCACATTACATAATAGGAATGTATGCCAACATTACAGGCTCATTTATATGCAGATTCTGTGCAGGTAGACCAAGAACAGCAACCAATATTTACAATGAAGTTCCAATATTGGCATTTGTCACATCTAGGCTACACTTCAAACATAGTCATTTTGTAATCAAGGTAGGATGTTTATCTCACTTTCATTTATCCTTTATATAACTTTTCATGTTTTGTAGCAATTGTGGTAGTTTTTGATTTAAAATTACCCACCATTTTTGTAAATGACATTTTTGGTTTATAATGCATATTCAGAAAAGTTACAAAGAACATCATCTTGCAATTGACCTCAATAATATTGTCACACCTAACACCTTATTCAACATTACTAAAAATAGTTTTCCTACACCTCTCCACTTCTGAAGTATTTTCCTGTCAATGAAAATCTGAATTACCCAATATTAACTGAAATAAGCTAACTGAAATTATTCATAGGAAACAACTTTTCTATTGTGCACAATAACATTATCTTTTAAATATTTGATCACTTATTGTAAAATTTAAGTAGACTTCAATGTATACATATTTAAGATATATAATGGCATGAGACAAAAGTGACTTCTTAAATGGAAAAGATGTTAACACGAAAACATATGCAATCTCACAAAGGAAAATGGTGAAAGTTTGAGTTTTTATAATAAGGCATCTATGTTTGAACCTTATCCTGATTAGAATAATTCAGTGTTATACTACTACTTTACAGCTAATCCAGGAGTTATACTTAATGTTGAATTAAGAAACGAGTTAACAGCTTAAAGAGCACTTGTTAAACTCCTAACTATAACGAATATATTAATAAAAAACTGCATTCTTGCTATTTAAAGGCTGAGACCATGAACAAAAGTAACAAAGAACAAAATAAAATGAAGGGTAGAAAAAAATTAGAATTAATGACTGAGGTCCATGACATGTACCCCAACACTTTCAGAGCCCACAGTTAAATTCTTATTGGAATAAAGTAAAAGAACAAAATTTTAAAAACTAACATTTTTGTTAGATTAATCTATAGTATATCTAATATGAAAGAAAACCTTCAAATCAACAACTGTGGATTAATGTGTAAACAAACTCTTGTTTTGAACCCCATTTAGTTAGTTATTTAAAGGGCATTCTTCTATCACTTCTAATTTAAAAGTTACTTCATTTAGATGTAAATTATGCAAGCTTCTTGAACTAAAATGTATGCCTAATTTTGAAAATTAAAAAAAAATTAATATACAAAAATTTTGGTGCTTTTCTCAAATATTTTCTGGTTTTTAGATATAAAGAAACAACACTAAATGAAGGTTATACAACAAATATATTTCAAAATTAGTATTAACTAATTCTCCAAACTTCTTCCAGGTAATTATTCTATAATATGTGTTTACATCAAGTTAGTTATTTTACTGTACCTCCTGATCAAAAACAATAGCCATTTAAACAAGGCTTTTACTGAAATGGTGCTAAAAACACTAAAATACTAGACATTGGCTTAAAATTTTAGAACTAAGGTGTACGACAAATGTTATATGAAGAAATCCTCTAGGTTATTCAAATATATAAATTATAACAATCCATAAAAACACTATACAAGATGAATCACATCTCTACATAAAGCAGCGCCTTTATGATGCAATATTTCAATCTTAAGTATTTCACCTACATTGACTGGCCACTTTTTTAGGACCCACCCATATGATACTGAGATGGATAAACTCTTGCTCTGATAACAACTTCGATTCAGCATTGCATAGACTTTACATTATGCCAGAAGTTGTCTTGTAAATTTTATCTGATTCTTCAGAAATTACTGTCTGCAACAGGTTCAAAAATGTTGTCAGCACAAAAAAAGAAAGAAAAGTGCCACATTTAAGTTCATCCATCCCATTTATATTTGAGATCTGGTGATCATGCTGGCCAAGAAGGGCACTTGAAGTTACTAGCATGCCTTCTGAATCAATTTCAGAGTTTGGATGTTGTGGATTTTACTGTTATCATTTTGGAAGATCCATTGTTAAAGTAGAAATGCAGCATTGTAGATTGGATATGATTGGCAATACCATTTAGTTACGCTGCGGATGTTAGTTGTCCTTCAAAAGGAAAAAATGACTAAATCTGCATGAAAATGTTTCTCCACACTCATTACACCACCTGTAACAACTTCTAGTGTTGTAAAAAAATAAACAACTTCAGTGCATAACATAATTTTACTCACTATCAGTAGAGGAAAGGGTAATATGCAACTTTTTTATGCCCCTTATGCTACCAGTGGTTCAGTGTTCCCAAGCTAAGCATTATTAAAGCCATGACCTTCTGTTTTTACTTTCAGACACGCTATTTTTGGACTGTTTGTCAGCTGTCATATGACATATTTTGTAATGTTTTGCAAAACTGCAGACAGATGAATCCTAAACACTGCTAAAGGAACTGGTTAATTAAAACAGCCTGACATTAGTTATACTTTACAAACTTATCCATTTGTATTTTAACTTGGTCTGTTTTCAGTCGTTGCTGGTCACAGTTTTTCTTACTGGCAGATATTACTGTTGATAGACTCTGACAAAATAAAAAAACAGACAAGCATTCATTATAATGCTTCTATCTCTATAACTTGGAGAGATATTTGCTTTTACTATTGTGTTGCAGGCTAATCATGATATGACTATAACTTCATGTTTAACTCTTTCGACACGGGCTCGGTCTCTTGGACTGAACTCGTAACCATAACCTTGTTATAGTTTACATACTAATAACTTTTAACATTTTAAGTGTATCTTCACAAACTTTTGTCGACTTATAGTAAACATTAGAAGCCTTTTACACACAAAAATCAATTTTTTAATGAAGTATTTTTATTTAAATTTGACCGTGAAAATATTGATTCTTTTTTTTTAACTAGTCTGAGTGCAAAGTGATTTTCATGTCAAAATTAAAAATTCTTATCGTCATCTAAAAAATCTCAAATTT